ATTTTGTTTTAAAATTGGTAAAACTTTTAACGAAAAGTTTTAATTGATAAAACAAGTTTATGGCGATGATTGCCTATCCCGTAGCAGAGTGCACGAGTGGTTTCAACGTTTTGAAAGTGGTCGTGAGGACATAAATGACGATGAATATGTGGGCCAAAAAATCGCGCCTGGAGAAGTCAAAAGTGAAGACAATGCTGATTTGTTTTATGATTCCAAGGGTATTGTCCCCAAAGAATTTGTTCTACCCGGCCAAAACGTTAATGTGGTATTCTACCTTGGAGTTTTGAAGCGTTTGGTGCCCCGAATTTGACGTGTTCGGCCCGCATATCGCGAAGATGGAAGTTGGCGTTTGTTGCACGATAATGCGCCGTCTCATCGATCGACGCTTGTGACCGATTATTTGATCAAAAATCACACTTTAACAATCAACCACTCCCCGTATTCACCTGATATGGCACCGTGCGACTTTTACCTTTCGGAAAAATGCATTTGCCGATGAAAGGAAAGCGTTATGCAGACGTAGAGGCCATTCAAAAGGCTTGCACCGGCATACTGGCGGCCATACCGGGCAACGAGCTAAAACACTCGTTCGACATGGTTTTGGACCGTGAAAAAAGCTGTATTGTATGCATTGAACATCATAGCGAATGCCTATTTTCAGCCTACTTCTGAAGTATGATTTCTACCCTACTTGAAGCATCTTGCGCAGTAGGCTGTGTGGACAGGTTTTGAAAATTTTGAGATATGATCAATAACAAGAGAAACTTTTTGTTGAGCACTCCACTCTTCAACGAGCACTCCAAAAACACGTTTATTTTCCATCGAAGAATAGCTTTTTCGATCCCCTTCCCTTACCAAAAAACGTCGTCATGTTCTTACATTTTATTTTGCGATTTACATTAATGTTTTATATATACCTAACAGTTTCAATTAAACCACGAGTCGAAATAGGTTATAATTTTTTTTGTAACTAAGTCAAAACTGCTGCAAGTGTTTTCGCAATTCATCACCGCTATGCAAAGGTGCTGAAATTTACCTATTTGGCGTCTTGCTGTAATGAAATGTGACCTTGATAACACATGGGCTGAAAAGTACCGGGTCTCACACATAGATGGTGCTAGTTTGGTTGAATTCACCTCATTTTCAGTTTGCACTAACTTTCAAAATACAGCTGTCAAAATTTCATTTTATTTATTAGCTTGCGAATTATTGTGCTAAGAGTGACGCTACTTTTTTTGTTTTAAAAACAATAGATGGTGAACAATTTCGTGTTTTAATTTTACACTGCTTCTTGATGGGGAAAAAATACCGTTCAAGCGAAGCAACGGCTTGAAAAATGTTATGGGGATTCCGCACTATTAGAAACCCCAATAAAACGTTGGTTTGCTGACTTCAAACGTAGTCGTAGAGACATCAATGATGCAAAACACAGTGCGCGTCCAAATGAGGCACCAGTAAAACACCAGAAAACATAAAAAAACAATCCACAAAATCGTTCTGAATGATCCGAAAGTGAACTTGCGTTATATAGCTGACGTCGTAAGGATTTCAAAATACCGTGTTGGCTTTATACAAGAATTTGTCCATGAGAAAGCTCTGTTCAAAGTGGGTGCCACATTTGCTGACTGTTGGCCAAAAACAGCAATGTGTTTATGATTCTGAGCAGTCCTTGGTCATGATGGATCCAGTCATTTCACTCCAGAATCAAAACGATCGTCATCTGAGTGGACACCAACTGGTGAACCTTGTCAAAAGCGCCTGAAAACACAACTATCATCTCGAAAGGTTATGGCCTCGGTATTTTGGAATATGATAGGTGTAATATTCATCAACTATCTTGAGAAGAGTAAAACCATCAATAGAGACTATTACATAGCGTTATTGGATCATTTGAAGTCCGCAACTTTGAAAAAGCGAGTTTTAACAAAACAGTACTGTATATATTGAGATGGTAAATAATCGGCATATTTTGTTTATTAAATAACAAAAACAATAAATGTTGTTGCAAACTATAATGGGAAATTATTTATTTATGGTATATTTTCTTAATAGATGATTTAAACGTCATAGTGTGTCGTATTTTGTCAAAAAAAATTTACTGATGATCAGATATTCCGTAATAAGTGAGTTCTTATGAATGAAACGCAGCACTAGTGCTAGATTTCTCTATGGTGAGTTTTCTTCTAGCTGTATTTGTTTAAATTTGACCGACAGAAAGCATAAAAGGTTTTGATTTCGTTTATCAACCCTGTTATAAAACTAAAACTTTCGTTACATTTATTATATAAAGTTCTTATATTTAAATGAAATATTAAATAATTTTCTTTCTAACGGCTAATCAACTTCTCAGTTTTCTATGTCAAAAATTAAAATATACTTACAGCGTGTTTAACACTTGCTCAAAAAAAAAAATAAAAACAATTGACACAACATTAAATAATAAGTAATATCCCAACAACATTGAACAAATAAGCAAAGTAATTCAAAATAATCACTTTAATAATGCAAAAAATTCCATTGAATAATATTTATTAATTATCATAATATAATTGCTCACAAATCTTTGAAATTTATGTGTATCTTAAATGCTAAGACGACACCCTAATTACTTTAAAAGTAGCAAAAAAAAGTGTTACACAACACCTTCATTTTTCTTGAGTAGAGTATTCATATGTAAACAAACCCAAGGTTTATAACTGTATATACTGAGGTGCAGGTGCAGCGACTTACAACCACTGACTAGTTTGGATTGGGAGGTTTGTTAATTCGCCGGTATCACCGTTTGTTGGACACAAAGGAGAAAAAAAAACCCGAGGTTTGAATACTTTTTTGGCGGCACAAAAGATAATTTATTATACCTTAGCCTAAAATTATACTACAATGATAATAACTATCAATAATTATTCTCAAGGCAACTGAGGAATAGGGTTGCCAAGTATTGTTTATTTTTTATTATTCAAATGAAATTATATATAATATATCAATTATTCTGGCAAGGGCAATTTATAATAGTAATGCCAATTATTATTAAGATACCTCCTCAAGGAGGGGGTAAATTAAATAAAGCAGCCAAAAGAGATGTTACTATTAATAAATTAATCAAAAAGCTTGAGGAAATATATAGAACAGATATGTATAAAACTATTATTAGACGTAAATACTCTAAAAGCCGAAAATGTGAAGCTTAGGTCCATCGAAGTAAACCAAATTCCTAATTTGGAATATAAGGTTGAATTCTCAACGGATGAAAAAGAATTAGCTAGAGAAACTAAATGGATTTAAACAAAAGACCAGCTAAGAAACGAAAAGCAGAGTGTTCTCCTGATCTTACGAAAAAACAGATGAAGCAACATTAAAATCGCAATTAGTATATAGCATCGGAAGCAAAAACAATTTTAAAATTAATCTTTTCAATAATGTGTTTATTTGGTGTGTAAGATAAAAATAATGACGAGCTATACAATATTGTCTTACCTCCGGTAGGTAAGTAATATTGACTGACACCATCGTCTCGCAACATGTTGCTAAAGAGTATAATAGCTTTGTTCACCTATCGGTTGTTTGTATCACCTAAAACTAATCGAGTTAGATATAGGGTTATGTATATATAAATGATCAGGATGAAAGGACGAGTTGAAATCCGGGTGACTGTGTGTCCGTCCATCCGTCCGTCTGTGCAAGCTGTAACTTGAGAAAAATTGAGATATCTTTATGAAACTTGGTACACACGTTTCTTGGTTTCGTAAGATGGTTAGTATTGCGGCTGGGCGTATTTGGACACTGCCCCGCCCAGAAAAGGTCATTAATCAAAAACAAATAAATTGCCATAACTAGGCTCCACAAAAAGATATAAGACTGTTATTTGGTATACAGGATCACATTAGGGAGGGGCATCTGCAGTTTAACATTTTTTTACAAGTGGGCGTAGTCCCGCTCCCTAATAGGTTTAATGTGCATATCTTCTAAACCGCTAAAGCTATAATAACAAAATTCTCTGAAAACAAATGTTTTTATTACCTGTATGGACAGTGTGAAAATGGGTGAAATTGGATAACAACAACGCCCGCCCACTCCCCCAAAAACGGTACTGTTAAAAACTTCTAAAAGTGCGATAAATCAAGCACTAAACACGCCAGAGACATTAAACTATATCTCTGGGATGGTATGAGATGACTTAATAGGAATCGAGTGGACATTTCGGAAGAGCGATCAATAGTGTGGTAAACAAACAGTCGGGAAAGATTAAGTTTTTTGAGAAGCTCATAAATTTCATTTGCCCTTTCTTCACGCTTGTGTAGGGCAATCACCGCAGTACGATTTTCTTAAGCTCCCAACTCCATTGTTAATAAGTGAAAGCAACAAATACTGAACTGATAAGTTCATCGGAATTTTTATCTAGCCAAGGACTGTCAGCTTGGCACCATTCTTCTTCGGAATATTACTTCAGGAGTGTTTCTGCCGCTACAACAACAATAACTGAACTGATCAGTAGTAATAGAGGGTAATAAACGCACTTTTTCCACGTCCCCGCTGTATGAATTGTTAACTCTGTAATAGAAGTTATAGGAACACTAAGTAGTTATAACTCAATCTCTCGATTAAAAACTGGTTTGTCCAATACTAAAAGAAAAGTCATTTATGATATATTGTTAAATAGTGAGCGATGTGATACCCATAGTAAAGTTATTTCATATATTTAAATTAGTTAATATAAGCAGCATTAGTTTGATATTAACATTTTTCATACATAATTGTATGTTTGTGTGTATTCTTAAGAAGTGCTCACAATTCTATTAGTCGCGAACAATTGTAGTTGTAATACAAACTAAGGCTAATATCATATGATCTAAATCTGAGCCTATATAATAATTTTTGGTGCCCTGTAATACAACTGTATTTAAATATACAGACTTTTTCCGGTTCGATTATATAATATACCGATTTTCTTTAATTAAACTAGGTATAGTATAAATCATACATACTTATAGGCAAAAACTTACCCTTTAGATGCATAAATACCATCTTGCGCTTTTCAGCATGAGTTTTCTTTAGAAGTGGTTCACGTTTATCCTTAGGAATATTCATATCTTCCAGAATTTCCAAAAACTTCAAGTCTATTTCACTGTCATTCATCGTTCGAATATCATTTTCCAGCGCCTGAAGGTCAATACTTTCATTATTATCAAAAATATTTGATTTTATGGGCACAGTTGCATTATGGTTGGTGTTTTTTATTTTTTGACGGCTGAACCATCCCTCAAACCATCCATCCGTTGTTCCTGTTCTTACTTTTTCTTGTTTTGACATATTTATTATTAACTAAAAAAAAAATAATATAGAAAAAAAAGTATATAACTTCACCACTTGTTTACTTTAATACATTTTTGATAAGTATGAATATGATTCTTAATATTTCTATAATTGTTTCAAAATACTAGGCGTGTTAGAGCTGCTTAATAATTACCGCAATACTGCAACCCTGTTACTAACTTGATACTCTGGTGCTGATGCTCATGCTATGTTCGCACCGACACGAAATTCGTGTTTTCATCGACAAATGAGGTTTCCACGCGAAAACTTGTGTTTTCATCCATCCCAAAATCTGTCAAACGAAAACACAGTTTTCGCTAAAAACCCCTTGAAAACTTACATTCCACTCATTATAATCGGTGCCTGCTCTAGTTTAATCGATATTATTGGAAGACATATTTCGCCAGCTAAATGTCACTTGACCATTTGTTTACATTCTGGGAATTTGTTTACATTCAAATGGAGAAAAAAGTCTATAAAAAAAACGGAATTCGTGGAGCGTGAAGGGAGAAGCCCTACTAATAGAATTATGGGAAAAAAAAGTTGGCGCGCTTCGAGGGCCAAGAAAAAATAGCCACATTTTGGAGGAAATGGCAGTGGAGCTGCAGCAGCAAGGTGTCACTTTCACGGCGGCAGAAATCAAAATGAAGATGCACAATCTGTCGCAAAGATTTAGGTAAATAAAATTGAGTAAAAATAAATATTTAACAATATTGAGTAAATATTAACGCGTTATATGTTATTATGTTTTATAGGAAGGAGAAAACAGCACTCGATTCAACTGGCGGTTCCCCCTCGCAGTGGCCTTTATTTAAAAAAATGAGCGCAATACTGTCGCCATATAAAAGTTACAACACAGAGGGCTTAGTGGAGGAAAGCTTTCCAAGTAAGAGACATGTGTTTTTTATTGAATATATTATTTATATTTACATATATATAAGTATATACATTTTTAAAAAGGTCCTACGAACTCCGAACCGATGGAAATTTCGGTGAAAACGGCTGCGTGTTCAACATTTGTTGCTGCATCTTCACTGCCATCACCAGTTTGCACTCCTTCGCCCTCAGCGATGATAATGTCACCAACCGAGCCGATAGATTCTACAAAAAGGAGAAGCAATAATTTTCAAAGTTGATTAATAAAAAAAATATTTAAAATTCTAAAACTTACCATTCTCGTTGGCCTAAACGTACGTAACTAATGTAAACAAATAAATGTGTGAACTGTCAATGAAAACTCATCGAAAACACAAAATGTCGGTGCGAACGACTTCGGTTCCACAATCCACAAATTGTGTTTTCAAGAGGTTTTCAATTTGGTGCGAACATAGTATCAGATTATATTCTGCTGCAATATTGCAGTAATTATTTCGCGGAGAACGTATTGCTTAGAAATATGGAAATTTGAACGTATATGATAACTTGATTTCGTTAGCACTTCATTTTACGTTAAGAACAAAAAATAAATTATATCGAACATAAAATTGATATTTATTACAAAATTCTATTACAATTCCTAATCCATCCAAGCGAGCAGCCAAAATGTTTATGTTGCGTTTGTTATGCTAGTGATGCGCAATTGATTTTGGCAGTGTTGCCGGATTTTTCGCGTAGAACGTGATGCTTTATTATCAAAGGTAACACTGCCGCAGTAATTTCACAACGAACTCTGTACTTAAATGTATGTAAGAAAGCAAACAGCAAAATAATTACTTATCCCCAGTATTTCAAAAGTACATTACGGTGTAACTAATCCTTTGAAAGACAGGTCTGCAAAAATTATCTTAACCTTATCTTAGGAAGCGATGGGAATGCACTCCATATGGGAACTGCAAGATAAAGGTGAAGTAGTTACTAGAGTTTAATTTCAATAGTAATTTAAGTATAGAAAACGTAAGCATAGCGAAAACAGGGACAAAATTCTGAAAACCACTCTTAGTAATAATCCATCGAATAGCGTTATACCCGAAGTGAGAAAATTGGCTTTGATCTTGACGTCCAATCGTTCAAATTACTAACAGTAATATTTTTTACTGATTAGTTGGCAGGGTTCGAAGTAGTTGATGAAAAAATTCCACGTGAATCCCAAGGAATAATGGCTAAATCTTTGATTACTCTTGTCAAGGTTGTAAATAATACATGAAAAAATAATTGAATTAACACTTGAACTAATTTCTTTTTATACTCTCGCAATCTGTTGCTACAGAGTATAATAGTTTTGTTCACCTAACGGTTGTTTGTATCACCTAAAATTAATCGAGTTAGATATAGGGTTATATATATATAAATGATCAGGATGAAGAGACGAGTTGAAATCCGGGTGACTGTCTGTCCGTCTGTCCGTCCGTCCGTGCAAGCTCTAACTTGAGTAAAAATTGAGATATCTTTATGAAACTTGGTAGACATGTTTCATGGTACCGTGAGACGGTTGGTATTGCAGATGGGCGTAATCGGACCACTGCCACGCCCACAAAACGCTATTAATCAAAAACAAATAACTTGCCATAACTAAGCTCCGCAATAAGATACAAGACTGTTATTTGGTACACAGGATCACATTAGGGAGGGGCATCTGCAGTTAAAATTTTTTTTAAAAAGTGGGCGTGGTCCCGCCTCTAATAAGTTTAATGTGCATATCTCCTAAACCGCTAATGCTATAATAACAAAATTCACTGGAAGCAAATGTTTTTAGCAGTTCTATTGACGGTGTGAAAATAGTTGAAATCGGGTGGCAACTCCGTCCACTCCCCATATAACGGTACTGTTAAAAACTACTAAAAGCGCGATAAATCAAGCACTAAACACGCCAAAGACATTAAATTTTATCTCTGAGATGGTATGAGATGACTTTATAGGAACCGCGTTCAAAATTAGACAGTGGGCGTGGCACATCCCACTTTTAGGTGAAAACCCATATCTTGAGATCTGCTTAACCGATTTCAACCAAATTCGGTGCGTATCGTTCTTTTCATGTTTCTATGTCATAGTGCGAAAATGGGCGAAATCGGATTACAACCACGCCTATTTTCCATATGACACCATTTTAAATACCACTTGATTCTTTCACTTTCCACTATGCAAATCAGGCAACAATGACTCTGTCGGGATAAAACTTTGCGTGAATAATGCGATTAAAGTATGCCACCTTGTGGCCAAAACTTGTCTAAATCGAACCAAAACTGTTTAAGCCCCTAAGTACTAAATATGTGGACCCCAGTGCCTATAGTTGACCTTCTACCGAAAATATCAGTCAATCCACAAAGAAATCTCAAACGAGTATACCATTTGACTTTGCGAGAGTATAAAATGTTCGGTTACATCCGAACTTAGCCCTTCCTTACTTGTTTAATTCTTATTTAAGTACTTTGGATTAAAAAATAAAAAATAATCCGATTTGGAAATAAATTTGCGTACTTCGTGCTCTACAATTTTGAACTAGACCTCACAAAGAGCCATCATCTTCAATACTCTGAAGCAGTGATCGACAGCCCATTGCACGCAGGCTGTCTCCGAGCGCCCTGAGTATACGTGTGTTTTCACACATTCTTGCAACCGTTATTATACCGTAGAAGCGATGACAGTGCCAGTGACTTTCTGACTACGTAACACGGAAGACGTGCGCGGAAAGTATACGTTTCCGTGTTACGTAGTCAGAAAGTCACTGGCACTGTCATCGCTATACATATATATGTACGAAAGCGAAATCAATGATTTTATATGCCTATACAAGGTACAATTCAAAAAATCCAGGACTTTTTAAACAACGTGGCTTCTAGTGGCGCCATCTGTCTGAAATTGTTATCCCTCAATTGTGTATTCTTCAGTGTTGTCGTATAAAATTTATATAACAGCTGACTTGTATAACAGCTGAGATATCGCGCTACATGTGACATTACATTTGTAGTGTCGGTCGGAAAATGAGCATCGAACAAAGAGCCAACATTAAATTTTGTTTTAAACTTGGTAAGACGTTTACCAAAACAAATGATGAAACAAGTTTATGGCGATGATTTATATCCCGTAGCCGTATTCACGAGTATTTTAAACGTTTTCAAGAGGGACGGGAGGACTTGGAAGACGACGAACGTTCGGGCCGGCCAAAAGATGTTGTAAACGAAAAAAAACACTGAAATCACTAAAAAAAAAAGCCAAAATAATCGCTTATATATATGGAATCGGAATTACCAATATCCGCAGCGTCGATTTATCGTATTTTGACAGAAAATTTGGGCCTCAGAAAGGTTTGTGCTCGATTTGTCTCGCACACTTTGAAACAACACGGATAAGACCTCAGAATCAGACAGATTTTTTGACCAAAAATCGCATTCATATCATCAACCATTCACCCTATTTGCCTGATATGGCACCCTGCGATTTTTATTTGTAAACCGCTATGCTGACGTTGATGCCATCCTCAAGGCTATACCGACAAATGACCTAAAAAAGTCATTCGATAACGTTCTTGAACGTGCAAAACGTTGTATTCAGGCGGAAGGAGACTATTTTGATAGCGACCAATAAATTTTTCAAAAAAAAAACAACTAATATTCGTTTTTTAATAAAAGTCCTGAAACTTTTGAATTGCACCTTGTATGTAGACAGGGTATGCCTACCACAGGGATAGTTACGTCGCTCTAGAGCAGTGATCGGCAACCTATAGCCCGCAGGCACTCTCTGGGTGCGTTTTTCAAAGTACAATTATAGGTGCCATAACCATAATGTAAATTTGTGAATCGCCGTTTGTAGACGTCTTTGGGCCGAATTTAATATTAGGGCAACATTTGATTCATATTAATTGATTGATATATTGTTAAATAGTGAGTGATGTGATACCCATAGTAAAGTTATTTCATACATTTAAATTATTTAATATAAGCAGCATTAATTTGATATTAACATTTTTCATATATAATTGTATGTTAGTGTGTATTCTTAAGAAGTGCTCACAAGCCGTAATATCATATGATCTAAATTTGAGCCTATAAAATAATTTAGCCCTATAGCCCGCAGGCACTCTCTGAATGTGTGTTTCAAGGTACAATTATTGGCGCCATAATCATAACCACAGCTGTTCGAATCAACTTTATGGGCAACACTGTTTCCAATTAGCTATCGAATGTGTGGGGAATTTGACGTGTCTGTACGACAAGAGTGATGCAAAATTCAAAAATCTAGCAAAAAAGAGAACCTCTTGAATGGCAGTGGCCAATAATTGGGAAGAATGTTGAGTAATAAATGAATTGAATGATGTAAATTATAATATCGAATATTCTGGATAGTAAGTGTTGTGATGAAGCCTTGGGGCAATTTGAGAAAACGTTTTTCGAAAGAAATGAGACACTCACGTAATGCCTCAGGATGTGGTGCATCAGTAGGAAGGCAGTGGGCGCTATTATAGAGATTACAATTTTAAAAAAGCCCCAGTATTCCTCCTCCGTAAGAATATTAATTAATTTTTACAGAATGAGACAAAGTTCTCCTATATTGCAATGCAGTGAAGAAGGTGATGCAATTGTACATATTTCGTGCGAATCTATGTACGTCCCAAGATCCAATTTCCCTTGCACCGTCACCTCCAATTTCCCCTGGGCAGGTTATTTCTATTCCGTCTAGTCAGTCAACAGCTGGCACTCCGTCATCAACTCATCAACAACAGTGAAAACTTTAAAGAAGATACGTGCGCGTAGACCGCGTCAAGAAGAGTTTAGTGTGAATATAAGCGGGTTTGGGAAAATGATATGCTCTACTATTTCAAAAATGAAAAAATCACTCTGGATTCCGTAAGCTCCTACGCTAATGGCAGTAAAAGTGTATTTAGCATCACATGCTGCCAACCGCACATTACTAAAAAACTTTTTGTAATTGAAATAACTGGATCCTGATTTTGGAAGGAATGGCAATTTTACTAATTCTTAGTTGATAAAATATCATATAGTGCCTTTTTTTAAATACTAAATGTGCAAATATGGGGAGATCCATTTCGGAGTTCGATACCCTTTTAAAGAAAAAAATACAGAAAATTTAAATTTAATGGGAAATGTCTATTATCATTCAAAAGAACATTATTTGACATTTATTTTTTGAAGATTATCTCTTTCAAATGTTGACCGCGGCTACATCTCAGATAGTCCATTCGTTGAGTTCGATTACTCGTTCGAGACTGGTAACTGGCGAAAGACACGCGTGATGTTTTGCTCCAAGGCCTGAATCAAAGCGCAATTGTCCGCATAGACTTTGGACTTTACATACCCCCATAAGTCTAACAGTGTGGTATCACAAGATTTTTGGTGGCCAATCGACCGGCCCAAAATGTGATCTGCTCGCCGAAGTGTTCTCTCAATAAATCCATTGATTGGTGCGATGTGTGGGAAATGGCGCCGTCTTGTTGAAACCAAATGTCGAGCTTCAATTTCAGGTATCAAATAGAGGTTATTATGGCGCGATAACAGTCGCCAATGACTGTTACTTTCTCAAAAGCATCATTTTTGAAGCAATATGGACCGATGATTCCACCAGCCCACAAATCACTCCAAACTGTTGTTT